GGGCGATGGTTAATTTTGATTGGCTGGTTTTTGATTGGCTGGAAGTTCCAACCAATGATGGTCGTCCGACTTGTGAATGACCATTTTTATCAGCTGTTGTATAATTTTGGTTGTTTTGTTTGTCGAGGATTTGGTTCCGCTGCTTACCACCGGCAACCCCACCTCCTCTTTTCGGCGGCATTTCCGAAAACCACCTAAAAACTGTCTGTGAGCACTGACTCAGACACGGAAGAAAAAATTCTCGAAAAAAGGCTCAAAAAGAGGTGTTTTTAAGAAAAATAGAGAAAAAAGAAGAGCAGAAAAGAACGGGGGCACTAAGTGCAGAATACGGAAAACTAAAATGCGACTGATCGCTAGCTAGTCAGAAAGACGAATGATACACAACTTACATATGAATAATGTTATATTCAATTTTAACATTGGAATGTATCATCATCATCATAGTCGAATGTTATATTCCAAATAAAAGAAATAGTGTAATTCTATTAGAGTAGAAGAAGAAAAAAGATAACATTAATTGTCGTTGCGAACATAAGTGCGCTTACTTTTTTTCGTCTGAAATATTTATGTTTTTTGTATCATTTGTTGAAGAAGATAACATTGAAAAGAAAAATAAATAAATAAATAAATTTTTTTGTCATATAAATTTTGTTTTAAAAAATAAAAACTCATGCCGAAGATAAAGCTGGGCAAATGTCATCTCAATGACATTTGAATACTGTATCATATGGCAAGGTTTCAATATAAGAAAGAAACATATAACATTGATTTATCTGAAGAAATACGATAATAGTACCATGCAAGTCCCTATGCCAGTATAGATAGTATATCGACTGTAACTACACAACAGCGTTATGAAAACTTGACTTCCTGTATACCATTTGATGTATCTCAACGAGCTCTACAATACTATATAAAAAGGATATCGATTCTAGAAATGTCTTTTTATCCGGCGGGGTGCTTTAATATATCTTTTGTTTTAATCGTTTTAATGTATCCTACGTTTTAGTATTCGATTTATTCATTAGTATTGAAAATTGATTTCAAAGACTTCAACTTATTTTTATTAGAAAATCGTTTTACTGTAATTTGTATATGATGCTGCTAAACATTCTCCTATTTAACAACGAACTTCGTAATTTAAATCATGAAGTGCATGAAAATCTAATGTTACATTCCCTTCGAATTCACTCGTTTACATAAAATTATTTTGATTAATTGAATTAATAAGACACTAAATAAAGCAACAAATAAATTCATTATATTTGGAGATCTTAGTGAATGTCATTGTAGCAGCTGAATGAACACTCATGGCATAATCATGTAAATGAGTTTTAGCAATTTTAAATATTTCTCGATGAATCTTATTATCAATTGAATCAAATCCATTACAAATATGTGTTGGGGGTGTGAACTGCGAATGTGGGTGTGGATCCCACAGACGCCCACGCCCACTCCACACCTTGTTTTTACATATGGCAGCACACACAAGGATGTAGCATTTACTCTGCAGTAAGTGAATACCAATAAAAGAAATCGAGTAACAATTAATTACATATGAAAAAAGATAAAATTCCTTTTAATACTTTTTATTTTCATTAGATATTTAAAATCATTACTACATATCCAAATCGATTTCATCCATCCAAAATGCTGAAATATCTTCTCAATAATCAACTTATTGTCAGTTATATCTGTTCGTGCTTTTGATTCTATTGTTGTATTTTCTTTCGAAATAGTTCTGAGTAGTTGGCAGCTTTATGAACGCTATAGTAGACAGTAGTGGAATTTCAGTTCGATTAGCATAGATTGCTCAAGAACTTCCATGTTTCATTGTATCATGTTGTCTTTTATATTATTATTCGTCGCCTGTAACCACCAAGAACTTTATAATAGTGGGACGTTTTCTAATACATTATTTTTACACATCCACTAGATGACGATAAAAATCACATGCATAAGAAAAAATAATTGAGATCGCTATTTTCAGGTTTATCATTTAAATATGTAGAATTGTTCAAAATCGAAGGAACGAAAGAAAAGAATGGATATGTGCTGAAGATAAAAAAAGTAAGGCACAAGCAATTCAAACCATGAGTAACTCTTATTTGCCCTTTTCTACATCATTTGATGGACTGTGATTCGCTTGATCGCCGAAAGCAGGGCTTCAGATGAAACGAAAAAATCGTCGCATAGGAATACTAGTTTTATCCATTCCCAAGCTACCTATGGTACAACTCGTATAATACTGAGATGTTCTAAAGTATTGACTTGGCTTCTATAACTTTAATATTCGATCGTCTCGATATCTCTCTAACTGCTTCCGTTTCGGTTTGTTGATTTGTTATTTGACTTGTTATGTTCATCGCATACGACCTACTGCGTTCTTCAAGAACAATACGCAAATGTAGAATATTAGAATCTTGGTGAACTTCCACTAGTACGATAATGAATTTATTGAAATACATTGAATTCATTTTTGGATTTACTAGATTCCGTGAGAACACAAGATCTTCTTTTTTGGCGAAGAATTTCAATTCTATGCCTCTAAGCATTAGAAAGTATTTACCCTTTTCATTCAAGAACCAACGACTTCTGATGAATTTGACTTGTTTTCTCAGATTACTAATAGCCGCTGAAGATCTTCTCATAGCTGAGATCAAGCCAAATCCATCTAGATTTGTTATTTGTCAATTAGTTTCATTGGAACGAAAACTTCTTTAAAAAAAAACTCGCTTCAAAGTAAAGATTCATTAGATGTGTATATGTGTGAAGCCAATATAACTTCACAGGAACAGTTTTTGTTTATATAGTGTATGTGTATACTTCGAAAAGATTAGTAATATTTTCATAAAAAAAAATAATACAAGAAATTTACAAATAAAGCTATTTACTTAATTTCTTGTGTAGAAAAGAAAATTTATTCTCTTCGGTTAAATCAATCTCATAAAAAGATGTTCTAACTCAAATAATTCAGGAAATATTGATTTAAAAGTGTACTAGATAGAGAGCATGCAGCTTGTACGAGGGTTCTTTTATGGAACTCATTGGGGCTATGAAAGAAAATAATTCTTTAATGGATGTCATAATTATTTCTGTTGCGTATCTGTTAATTTCGGTTTTATCGTAGGCACTACAAGCATATCCAGTCGCTCTTGAAGAAAATTGACAGTTAGTGTATCAATTAATAGATGCATTTCTCACATGATCTTTAGAAACTCTAAAAAGATATTGGGAATAAAGTGTTATAGCATCACGTTACGTTTTATACACATAATGTATCAAATCTAGTCGTCGAGAGCAGGAACCGTAAACACGCCACCGACCGACTACGAGACGACTCTAACGCATTACTCGAGGGAATCTATGCAGAGCACTTGAAAGGTACTTTCACATCATAATTGTCAATGACACATTACATCTAGACGTTTAAATATGGCCGTGTGCTCAAGAATACTCCTTAGAGCAAAATACAGCGAGACGAGACACATGATAATCTCATTGGATTTAATTGAATGTTAAGCGAGTCGGTATGATGAGCTCCAATTCTTGTTTTATACATCCATTTGTAGTTTACAAATACTTGTTTGTCGATGCATTTGTGCCAGCGAAGCCATCAAATATTATTGATAGCACACATATCCATAATGAACTCATTGATATATATATATACTGGAAATCCACTACTATTTTCTTATTGTTTATATTCTTTTCGGTTGCAACACTTGTTCTTTAATTCGAAATATCAGCCAAAGAACTTGTATGCAAACACTTTTATATTGCAAATCATTTTGCTGATTTTCAACAGCTCGACTCATACTATTATTTTGCAGGAAAGAATATTTTCATATTTCATTTACTTTAAATGAAAATTTGACCTTTAATGCTTCATGTTCTGGTAAAATTCGTATTGAATGTTCATCAAGATCAATAATCGTACCTTGTAAATTTCTTAATTAGCCCTTACATGCTTCAACATGATCGCCTCGTGCAAATGATGACAAATCATTTTTTGATGTTTTCGATCCGCTTATTGATGATGGTAAATATAATGTTCGATGAAATTTTATTAATTACACTTTAATTCTTTCTCACTTTCATACTCAACAATTGTTTCTTCAAATTTACCTATAGTGCACTTATAGTTCATGTTATATATTATTGGCTTACTAGATATCTTTCAAAGATTCATAGCATAGGAAATATATTTCGGGCAATATGAGCGCAACATATACTTTAGTTTTTTGAAACGAATTTCAAATTATTTTATTTCACTTATATAATAAGTAATAACAAGGACAAATGATACAATCGAAGAATAATAATAAAATATTTGTTTAATTTAAACCCTATAACATTTATGTTTTCTGTCTTTCATCTTCTTTCTAACGACCATGACGATCATAGAAATTTTGCAGGATTTCATTATATATTGAGATTTGAGCAGGTGGAGCCGGTGTTGGATTTGATATGATGAATTCGCGTAATTCATCTCTAATCAAGAAAGAAACAGTGAATATTAAATGATAATAAATTCAACATTTACGTTATTCTACCAAGGCCAATTGATGTGAAAAAATTGATGCAAAATCGAGCATCTTCTGGATTATTGTGTTGGAAAAGACCTTTAAAGTAATCTGCCAATGTTCTAAAATCAAAAACACGAAAATTAATTTTTCATTTTTAACCTTTTCATAACTTACGGATCAGTTAAATGATTCTTAAGCTTGGTGAAGCCAAAAAATTCAAATAATTCCAAAAACAAATGTTTCAAATACACATGAGATGAGATTGCAGTTTTATTAGATAAATAAATAGAGGCGAATGCCTAAAAGGAAAATAAAAGCATAATATTTTTATTTAATATCACGAATGAATACATGCATCCCATGAAATGGATTCTGTGACAAGTAAGTGTGCAAAAAATTTAGCGACATTCCTTAACTTAACATTTTCCATGTGACGAGCAATTGCATATTGACCATATTGATCTTCAAAACTGCACGTAAACCAATAAACATATTTATCTTCTAATAGACAAATACGTTCTCCAAGTAAACCAAAAAAACATTCATATGTAGGCTGTTGCGCACAAACATCAACAATCATTTGACATAGTTCTTCCTATACATCAAGATTAAAATATTCGATTTCTTTCATGCTTAACAAACATACGTTTAATCTATTATATGAGTCCATTTTAAGTAGTTTATGCGCACATTCTTCAGCATCGATACTGGCTTGAATTGTTAAACATATTTTGTGACGGAGTGTTGCTAAATCTGTTTCAATTCGATCGATAATGATCAGCTGTTGTTTTTCTTCATTGCCATTGTCTTCATCAGCATTATCTGTTACATATGAACTTGATTCATCTTCATCACTCTCTGACGTATCTGAAGATGATTCTTCGTCACTATCTGATGTATATGAACAGGATTCATCTTCATCGGTAGTATTTTCATCAAGAATTCTTTTTCTCATTTGTTTATATTCGTGTTCGTTAATGACATATTTTGCATCATGTCTAAATACATCTAAAACAAAAGTGTGAAATATTTCATTGAAGTTAATGTTTGTTTTACCGAGTATATCATCGGGATCACACGGATCGTCTAATTGCAGTATGTGTGCATATTGACTATATTTATCGACGAAATTTAAACCACGTTCTACAACTGGTTGTTTTGTTGGTGCAGTAAATATGATTTCATGAATATCTTGTGTAAGTTTATTTAATGATGATTCATCAGGCAAGTTTGTTAATGTTGTACATACGAAATCTACTTCTTGTCGACTGGCGTGTAATAACTTTTCACCGCACTCTTTTAATAATTGAACAGCTAATTCTGTATTATGATCATTTGAATTTTCCAGGAGAAAAAGAAGCATTTGCAAAGCAACTGTTTCACGTAACTAAATAAAATAAAAACAATATTAGGCTATTGTATTTATTAAAAACTGCTTACCATATTTTTATTAATTAGATGTGAAATAAATTTTATTATTGCCAAACAACGGATTTTATCATTACGTTGATGTGTTCGACGAAACAATAATATAAGACGCTTGAAAATTAATTTACTAATTATAGGCAATTTTCGATGAATTTTACAGACTAATGCAGCATACACAGGAGTAGACGATGGGGATCTAAGTTGTGCTCGAATAATAGCATTTGCAACTAAGCCACGACCACGTATGATATTGCATTTAAATAGTCCACGACTAATTGCTGATAAATTTGATTTATCGGCTTCTTTAACTTTATCCTTAATATTTTCTTTTAAAGCTTCCCATGCTAGACGTTGATATTCTGTTATTAATGTTTTAGTTAATGTACCCTAAATTAAAATAAAAAATAAAATTTATGATTTTGAACAGTCATACTTGTAAACGGCGGCGTTTAGCAGGTGGTATATCACATTCGTCTGTATTTGACAGTGTAACAGATTTTGTTTTATTGCATGCAGGACCTTCTTGTGCTTTGAACATATTGGTTGATTCAAAATCAGGGCCAGTGTTGAATTCGTTGTGAATATGAGCTCGTATGGTATGTTGTTTCTTCTGAACATTTGCCATGTGTAAAACCAATGAGAAAATTGACTGATTCGATTAAAGAATAGATATCGCTAGTTGTCACCAGCATGCTCATTCGAAGAAAAAAATCGATACAATATGACGGAATTTAAAAAAAATAAGGATCTGTCTTACACAATGTGCAACACATGTAGAAAACGAAGAAGGGCGTTAAACAGCACAACAAAATCGTGACAGAGTAAGAATTTCTATATTAATTCTATCTAAATAAATTTGACTTTCTTTAGATGTACTGTTCATTGTACATTTCATAATATTTCACCGGATCTTATTCATACAATCTAATCAACGGTGGGTATTGGTACATTATCAAATAAAACTAATAATCAATTTTCTTATGCAGATTCATTTTTAAAAGCTCGACAAATACGTTGTATTCTGGCTGATTATCTTGGTCACCATGCACAAATATGGTTTTCGATGGAACATTTAAATTCATCGAATCATTTTTTATCCACATCTGATAAAAATTTTCATACTATCGATCACATCTATTTTGGTTCCTTGTTTTCCATTAGAAAATCTCTTGTTGACGACACCCCACTCATGAATGAAAGAAATCATTGGAAAATAGAAATTCACAATAAACAAACATTCGTCATCGAATCTGAAAATGAAAATTCTTCAATACGTTTATGTATACCATTCAAATATCTACACAAGAATATTCTTATTATTGATGATGAAGATTTTTCTGAAATTATTTTTAGTTATAATTTAATAACAATCAACACGATATACGAAAAGTAAGTCATTGATAAGTTTATTACCAAGTTTTTAGATTTTACTATTTAGAATGTATGGTAATAATTCAATAGTTCAATCATTAAATCAGTGTACAGATTTTTGAATATGTTTATCACCAAAAACCACTGCCGATTTATTTCTCGATTATCTTCAATGACATTACTATCATCAAATTTATTATACCATAATTTCTGTACAACATAGCATTCATCAATGGTTCATTCAAAATTTCAATATCTACCCAACAGATCATACACGTGACGCAGTATCAATTTTACACTCCTTAGGTTATATATTCGATGATAAATATTTAAATAATGAAATTCTTCGAAACTGAATGGTTAAGTTAGCTAGAACATGATGAAAATTATTTTTATCAATTATCATTAAAAGCTTATCATGAACTTAAAAAATGGCATTGGGTAAATTTAATAGACATGTTTAATAGAAAACCTATTAAAACCACAAATGATAACAAAATATCCAATGCATGTGTCATTCATATAACACCAACACGGTTTTTAATAATGCCAAAAGAAAAAACGAAAGGACATCGTGCTATGAGTTGTTCGTTATTAATGGTATTAATGATTTTTGTCTTGTTTATTTAAAACCTGATTCACCCAATATTTATTTCAATGATGATAATAATCACCTGATAGACTACTTTAAAGATATGTTTCACTCGGGTATTGATTTCGGTGGAAATCATTATCATTTATTTGGTGCATCGAATTCACAATTAAAAGATCATTCATTTTGGTTTATTAAAGGATTAACTCTCCATGAAATTCATCAAAGACAACAATTATTAAGTCAATCTGATCAAATTCTTAATTTAGGCACTTATTTTGCTCGATTAGGTTTATGGTTTAGTAAAACGGATTCAATCAACGTAAGCGAAAGAGAAAGAATGGGGTTAAAATCGAAATGTTTATTCATTTAGATTAAACTTCATTATTGTTAAAATGAAAATGAATTTAATGGAATATGTGTACATGTTTCAGCCAATCTATGTCGTTACCATGATAGCCTAGCCCTTCGCCATGAAAGAATAGCGCTTAGTGGCATCTATTTATTTCGAGTAAAGCACCAGCAAAATATTTATCAGACATTCTTACTTATATAACGCTGATTTTAAATATATATAACTCTTAATGTTTCGTCCAGCTTTAAAAAAATATTCACCTAGCGTGTTTTACAAAATAACCACTAGGAAATAGCGCATTCATATCATCATATAGGCCGAAATCACACCGACTAATTCAAAGTGAATTAAAACAGAATAAACGAATAAGCCATCTTTTTGAGATGGCTTAAGTCGTAATAGTCCAATCGCGTCGCTTATTTTGTTTTATCTTTTTCAGTGTGATTTCGGCCATACATACACAAATGTCGAAGTCGGACGAAAGTTCTGCACCCACAATCGAATACCAATCTCATCAATGGAATATTTTAGAAGAACGAATCCGGTGTTTAATCAAAAATATTACAAAAAAAAACATACGTCAAATCGCCAATCGATTATTCAAAAAGAACATACAACGTGGTCGCGGTTTATTAACTCGTGCTTTAATAAAACGCCAACTGAGATCACCACGAAGGGCTCGGATATACACAGCCTTAATGTCAATCATCAATAGTAAATTTCCCAACATTGGAGAACTCATGTGTAAGCGAGTAATTAACTTATTCCGCGATTCATATATGAATGACATGGCGGATAAATGCTTCTCATTGCTGCACATGATCTCTCACCTGATCAATCAAAATATTGTACGTAATTTTTTTCATAAGTAAACAAAGTCTACAAATATATTATAATTATTTTTTTATTTAGCTCACCCATCAGATTGCAATACAAATACTTAAACTTGTACTTACAAATTACACTGACGAGAGTGTAGAATTAGCTGTGCGACTGTTGAAAGAATGCGGACAAAAGTTATTACAAGACAGTCGACAGCAATTAGATGATATTATTACAGCATTATCAAATTTATCTGATGAAGAATCATTAAATGCACGATCACAAACTTTAATTCGAGATTCATTGCTCCTTCGGCAAGAAGAATTTCAAAAGCGTCCATCAGTTAAGCTTGGCTTGAATTTTGTGGACAAAAAAGATCAATATACTCATATTTTTGATATAGTTAGTTTGTGCGATGTAGAAGGAAATCTAAGTAAAACACGCATTAATTTCGATCACACGTTTCAATGTTTCATTTAGATTCATTTCATTTTGACAAAGATTACGAATCTAACGAAAGTTATTACAAAGAAAGCCAAAAAAAGATTCTCGAACAAAACAATAGCAACGAAGATAAATCAAATTCAAATTCGTCAAATGATAATGAAATGGACGTTAGTTTAACAACAACAGATACGATTCATTCTAGTTCAGAGCAATCTGATGACAAGGAGAATTAATTGTAAAGAACATCGATGACTGTTTTACACGTAGCATGTGTAAAATTTTCACTTATTATCTTATAATATTAATAAAATATATATAGTATCCATTTTTGTAAAGCACAGAACTAATTGTTTTGATTAAAGCATCAAGTAAATGATCACAATATTGAAATAAAGTCGACTGTTATGATGATATTAATAGAAAATGATGTACAATAAGTACTAAACTCGCTGCAATATATCAATAAAACATTTATTGTTCACAGTCCGCAATTAATGCTAAAGTATATAATGTATATGCTTCAACAATTGATGTTAATTGATCTGGTACGAGTGCAAGAAGAATTAATAAAGCTAAATTTAAATATTTTTATTGAAATACATTGAATTCATTTTTGGATTTACTAGATTCCGTGAGAACACAAGATCTTCTTTTTTGGCGAAGAATTTCAATTCTATGCCTCTAAGCATTAGAAAGTATTTACCCTTT